AGGGGGAACCCTTAAGTGACGATGCCTTTAGTGACGCCTTTTGAACCTTTAGGGAATCCACAATGGGGGTTAAATAAGAGTTGAATAGATGGTGATTAGGATTGAATAGAGGTTGAATGGAGTATGAGTGATAACATGGAGTGGGTTGAATGGAAGAGTTATATGATCATTGAGTGGTTGAATGAAATTAATCTTTTCCTTTTTAATTAAATTTCAAACAAAATATAGACAAAATTGCAAGAATGGTCCCTGTGGTATGTCAAAACTAGCACCTTTGGTCCAAAATGGGTTTGGCTCGCAAGGATGGTCCAATAGTTTCGTTTTGTTGCGAGTTTGGTCCAATTTTCTATGAACTTTTTTATAATGACGAATTTGCCCTTATATTTTAATTTTCCATTTTTATTTTATTATAAGTAATTAAAAAACAATTAAAAAATAAAACAAAAATAAAATACGCTCTCTCTCTCTCTCTCTCTTTCTCTTTCTCTTTCTCTTTCTCTCTCTCTCTCTCTCTCTCTCTCTCTCTTTTTCTCTCTCTACAAACAAAATTAATACAGATCTGGTAGTGGATTTGTAAAATGAAGAACCCTAACTTTTATCAATTTTGTTCAATTCATTGTATGAAGTCGAATAGACTAAACACATACACACTCATATATGCATATGAATCTCAAGAACACTCGGTTTTTCCTGAGTTCAAGAACAAGAACATCATATTCATGAACTAAGAAATCGATTTTTGATGAAATGTCATCACCACCATCGGAATCAATTTCTTCTATGAATTTCCCAACTCAAACCCACAAGCATACAAACAACTCAATAAACATAAAGATAAAGGTAAACTGCACCCCTTTTATCCCTTTCCATGAATCGCAGACACCGTATACCCTAAATCAGTACAGGTTAAAGAGATTACGATTTACAAATGAAAGGGATTACGATTTACAACCTAGAAATTTTTGCGTCCTTTCCAATTATTGAATCAAATGCCAATCATGTCCCTCCCTCTTGTTCTTCTCTGAATCGGTGTGTGTATCAATTTTAGGCGTAGAAGATGACTCTTGTAGAAGAACAACGATAACAATGGCATTGTAGCTCTAAATGACAATGAGAGAAAAGCCAGGTATAGTGGTTTGACCTATGAGGCGATGGTGTTGTTGGTATTCGTCGGAGATGTTACTAGGTTTAGGTGATGGGCGAGGTACGATGGATGATGGCCAGATATACTAGGTGATGTTAAGGGTCAAGCGGGTGGGTCAGGCAAGAGAAAAGATGTGTTTTCCAACGATTGTATTCTCACATAGGTCACTGAGAGGTTGCAACATGTTTGATTTTGAAATTGTATTGAACTGATTTCTTTGAACTTATCGAAGAAGATATATCAGATAGGCAGGGGAGGGATGAAGAAGATGAATTGTTCTTGGGTAAAAAGAGAAAAAAAAAGGGGGGAATACGGTGGAGAGAGAGAGAGAGAGAGAGAGAGAGAGAGAGAGAGAGAGAAAGAGAGGGTATTTTATTTTTGTTTTATTTTTAATTACTGATAATAAAATAACAATGGAAAATTAAAAATATAAGGGCAAATTTGTCATTATAAAAAAGTTCATAGGAAATTAGACCAAACTCGCAACAAAATGAAACTATTGGACCATCCTTGCAAGTCAAACTCATTTTGGACCAAAGGTGCTAGTTTTGACATACCACAGGGACCATTCTTGTAATTTTGTCCAAAATATATATGTAATCAATTCTCTTATATTTTTATATTTGATTTTTATATTTTTCTAATTAAACCACAAATAAAATTAACCATATTTTTAGACATTATATTATTTAATAAATCAATTTTTAGCTGTCTTATTTTTATTAATAAATAACACAAATAAAGTATTTAAAAATAAAAACTCACTTAAAAAGAAATATACCCATTACAAATCTAATACAAACTGATTTTGATAAAATATTACATTAATCGAACTATTACACATTAATTCTGACTGTCATGTAAAAAATGTTCCCAAATAGGCTTCGTGTTTTTAATTAATGTATGTTTTAGGTTTAATAATTTTTAATTAATGTATTTTTAAGTGTTGTATTTTTTTTAACTATTATATCTTTTATTTTTATATTTATAATTATGTTTAAAAACATAATGATGAAAATGTAGAATTTCATTAAACTGTATTGGGTTCAATGAAGTACGGGTATTAAAGAGTAAAGTTGAATAAAATATGAAATGCTAATGTGGCAATGATGTGGTAATTTATTGAACTCTAAGGAGTTTCAATTGACTTTGGATGCCCTTAGCGGTGACATGTTGCTCGGAAATATACACGCCCTTTTTTCGTTAGTTTTAGTGGCGACTTCGTCGTCGCAAAAGAGGTCGTTGCTACTACTATGAAAAGTAACTAACCCCATCCGTTGGATCATGAAGCAATCGTAGGGCCAAGAATTGATCTAGAGGCATTCACACAGATCACAGATCACACCCTTTCGTGACCACAACATTATTGACGACCAAAACGCATATTATATAATGCCGTCCCTAAAACTATGTGTCGTCACAAATGGTGTTATACCTAAAGCTTATATTTCTTGTTGTGTGACAGTATGAGATATGGATGAGCTAGCATAGACTGGTCCCGACCAAAACGCATATTATATAATGGTGCTGGACCCGGAGGTTCTTAGAATGAGTCATGAACCACATGGAACAGGTTCTCATATGGTATCCGGGTTCTAATGTTTTTTAAAGTTAATTTATCACATGTAAACAATCACAAATAAGGGTATGCAAACCAATCCATAAACCTGCTTGAAAGATGTTCATGTAACAAGTAAAAAAAAGTTTGTTAATTAGGGAAGGAATATATATATATATATATATATATATATATATATATATATATATATATATATACACACACATCCCACATCTAACAATGAAACAAGTATTAAATCCAGAATTCCAGATAGTCCAAATACAAATTTAAGTGGGATTGTTGTAAATTATGCTTTAAAGGTTACATAACCAGATAACCTCAAATCTTGAATTCCTTCTTAATTCAATGAGTAAATTACACGAATGGTTCATATGATTTGGGGTAATTTGCACGTTTGGTTCCTACTTATTCTTTTAACTCGGAAGGTTCCTACTGTTTGTTTTTGTTACGCGTTTAGTCCTTTTTATTTGTTTTTGTTATACGCTTGGTCTCTGTCTTACCTAAAAAAACTATTATTTGAATATGGAAAATGATAGGATAGGTAGGGTAAGGTGAGGGGAGTGGGGTTGAGAGTGTGTTTATTTAAATAAATTAAAACATCAAGGGCAAAATAGTTTTTTTAGGTAAGACAGGGACCAAGCGTGTAACAAAAACAAACAATAGGGACATTCTGAGTTAAAAAAATAAATCAAAAACCAAACATACAAATTAACCTAAACCATAGGGATCATTCGTGTAATTTACTCTAATTCAATTAATGTCCATCTCCACTCACCCTTAATATCTACCGCTTCTAATTGGTCAAGGTAATTGGTATGGACTCGTGGTTGTATTGTTAATCGTCTTTTTAGACTTTTGTTTTTCTAGCTTTTTTTTTTTTTTTTTTTTTTTTTTTGAAAGAGCAAAAGAATTTGTTTTTCTAACTTATTCAAATTCTTTATGTGAAAATATGGTTGTGTAAAATATGTTGTATCGAAGCCAAGGCCAATTAGTTGATATCACCATTTGTGGTTTTGTCAGCGAGGAGCTTGTTGAGTATATTGCTAACAGGTATGTATGAGTATGAATTTATTATTCATATTTAACTTAATTCATATCTTTTTATGGTTGCATACTTCCACCTAGCACACTTGGGAACCACCGGATGATGTTATCCATATGGATGACCTAATAGCTTTGAAATCATGGCATGTGGACAGCATTATACATGAAACCTTTATTTTTATAATTTTTATCCATAGTCTTAAATTGCTATCTCGTTAATCTTATAACTTATGTTTCAGTAACATTGTTCACAACATTCGAGACAGTGGTGCTTTATTTGCATCTGAATTAAGCTCTTAATAAAAGGTCGACTTAATATTATTAAAAGTCAAACTCCTTCTGGCAGGAAAATTAATTAAGGGTTTAAGTTTGTATTATGAGTATAACACTGTAAGAACTTACAACCAATAATCGAGCTCGACTCTCAAAGGTTCAGATTGTTCTTTTACAACGAAATATTTGTAGGATATAATTATATAAAAGGCTTGGTTTTGAAAGCCCAACCAGACCATCCGATTGATCAGGTTGGACCAGGAACCTATCAAGTTACCAGTTTTTGGATGCCCAAAAGCATATTGTAAGTGAACTAGCATTGCTAGTTCACACACACACACACAAAAAGGCCCAAACGAGCTGGTCCAACCACTTGAAAAATCGGTTTTTGAACATCTATATATTTTTTTTATATAGATAAAGATTGCTAACAATACCGACAATTTGTTCTTTGTGCTTTATTTGTATCAATAGAATGTAGTACATTCATATTTTGTATAAAGAAATTGAAGTAGGCTAGTAAAAAATTGAAAGTATGTTGTTATAATTGGTAGGGTTAAGCAAAACCGAACCCTATTACTGTAAAATCGAAAAAACTAAAACTAAATAGAAACCAACGGTTTGGGTTTGAAATTTTTAGAAAGCGTAATATGGGTTCGGTTTCAGCTTAAAAATCTAGAAACCGATAAAAACCGAACCCGAACCAATTTATACAAAATATATTTATTCTGTGAAGATTTTGTAAATATATTTATTAATTACGTGACTTATAAAAATATAATGTATTTTTGTTTTTACTTTTCCTGTATGTGGCATCCGTCCCACATCGACGCTCGGACAAAAACTCAGCCTATGTTTAACAATTATAAATAAGAGGTAAGTCAACATTGTTTAAATCTCAATATATTTTATATAATCAAGACTTGGGATGCTAAATGGATATGAACAATCTAAAGAGATTTTTAAAAAAAACTAACAACAAGCAAATAAGAGTGGGCAAAGATCTATCGTTTTATGAGATAGATAGTTTACATTCGTATATTCCCCCGAAGCAATTCTTGGCTGAAAAGACATAGGAAAACCGATTGCTCGCTCTCCAAAAAGTCAAACAAACAATCTCCCCATACTTCACGAGCTTCTATTAAAAAAACGCAAGAAAGATATCTCATATTTTGATTATTCTCCAAAAAGATTCATATTTGATTCCATTCGCTTTCTCACTTATTTCCACGAACAATCAAAACCCATATCATAAAATCTTTCATCATATACCCATTTATTACACCAATCTCTCAATCAAGACCATGTTGATAGCTTAATACGCCATAAGATCAAGCCTTCGATCGTCAAACTTCATGGGTTTGGAGGGAAGCAACCAAACGATCTTGAGCAATGATCAGAAGAACACTACAGATAAGAAATCAAACCCTAAACTAACTTTACTACCTCTAATCGCCCTAATTTTCTACGAAGTTTCCGGGGGTCCATTTGGTGTAGAGGATTCAGTCAAATCAGGAGGTGGAGCTCTACTTTCATTACTAGGGTTCTTAATTTTCCCCATTTTCTGGAGCATCCCAGAAGCACTAATCACAGCAGAACTCGCCACAAGCTTCCCTGAAAACGGCGGTTATGTCATCTGGATATCATCGGCGTTCGGCCCTTTTTGGGGTTTTCAAGAAGGGTTTTGGAAATGGTTTAGTGGAGTTATGGATAACGCACTTTACCCTGTATTATTTCTCGATTACTTAAAGCAATCACTCCCAATCTTCGATCAATTATACGCTAGAATTCCAACCCTTTTAGCAATTACTATCTTATTAACTTATCTGAACTACAGAGGCCTTCATATCGTCGGATTTTCTGCTGTTCTTCTTGCTTCTTTCTCTCTCCTTCCATTTGCAGTCATGGGTATTCTTTCAATCCCCAAAATCATGCCTAAAAGATGGATAACTTTAGATTTCAAGAAGGTTCAATGGAGGGGTTACTTCAATAGCATGTTTTGGAACTTGAATTATTGGGATAAAGCAAGTACATTAGCTGGTGAAGTTGAAAATCCTAGTAGGACGTTTCCGAAAGCTCTTTATGGTGCTGTTATTGTGGTGGTTTGTTCTTATTTGATTCCACTTTTGGCGGGAACTGGGTCGTTGGAATCGGATTCCAGTGAATGGAGCGATGGGTATTTTGCTGAAGTCGGGTTTTTGATTGGAGGATCTTGGCTAAAATGGTGGATTCAAGCTGCTGCTGCTATGTCGAATTTGGGGTTGTTTGAAGCTGAAATGAGTAGTGATGCTTTTCAACTTCTTGGCATGAGTGAAATCGGAATGCTTCCTTCTATATTTGCTTCCAGGTAAAATATTGCATATTTTGTTATAAAAAAAAAAAAAAAAAACCCTTTTTGTTGTATAAAATGGGAAAAAGCTGAAAACTTTGGTGCATTTTGTACCAAAAAGACATTGCATTTGATGTCTTTAAGCTTTTGGATTGTAGAACTTGAGGGAAATGGGAGCTTTGTGGGAATTTTAAAAATCCATATAAGTTAGAAAAACGAGAATATAATTTATAAAGTTAATGTGGGCTCTAGTAATATATAGTTTATAAAATTATTGGTATTTTAAAAATCCATGTAAGTTAGAAAAATGAATATGTTATAATATTCTTTTTGGTTTTAAAATATGTGTAATGGGTCGAATAACGTTTTACATATAAAAAAAAAATAATAAAAAAAAAAAAACATCATTTTGGTGCAAAAAGTAGTGTAATGTGTTAGAGATGGTGTTAAGATACCTTGAATTATCATTTAAATACAAATGTATGAAATAGTTAAATACTTCTATCCATTTATTAATAATAGCAAGGTTATCCAAATGCAGTTAGATAGATTTTTCAAAATATAATGTCGTAACAAAATAAAATGGAAAGTATAATGCTATAATTGGGTAGATTTTAAAGTAAAATATTTGAATAAGAAATGCTTTGAAAAGTACAATGTTGTAAAAGAATAAATAAAAATACAAGTAGGACACTATATTGCACAAATATATGAAAGTATGTTGCTATTTCTTTATTCTTTTGCTTATTATCCGCATACGTAAAACCTCATAGGTCAAAATATGGGACACCAACAATCAGCATATTATGCTCAGCAACGGGTGTCATCTTTCTATCATGGATGAGTTTTCAAGAAATCTTGGAATTTCTCAACTTTTTATACGCAATTGGAATGCTATTCGAATTCGCAGCTTTTATAAAACTAAGATTAAAGAAACCAGATCTTCATAGACCTTATAAAGTTCCTTTAAAAACATTTGGTGCAACAATGTTGTGTGTACCTCCTGCTACTTTACTTGTACTCGTGATGTGTTTGGCTTCCTTAAGAACGTTCTTGGTGACCGGTGGTGTTGTTGCTCTAGGGTTTTGCTTGTACCCTTTTATCATTCATGCGAAAAATAAAAATTGGGCCCACTTTGTTTCCATTGATGATGTAAAATTAAATGATTGTGATTTGGAAGATGATGAAGACGTATTGCGCCACGTGGCGGATGAAGCCGGGGTCCGTTTACTATCGGATTCTTCGTCATCTTCTAGTATGGAAAAAGTATCTGAAATATTACCCGAAGGAGGTGAAAAATTGTAAATGAGGTTAAGTTTGAATGATGTGATTCATTTATTCTGTATCGACAGTGGGATATGTTTGTAGGGACACCTTGGGGTGCGTGTACCCTTATTCTTAAAGAATGATTGTGATATGTTGTAAAACAATTCTTTGAACCTATTTTTGTTGTACTTAAAGAAAAGATTATGATATGTTATAAAACTTATTTTTTTACATGATATAACTATTATTTAAATGAATAGTGTATTTGTTAATTGTTAGTGGTTGTTAATAGTAAAGTGAGAATGTTGAAATAAAAGCAGGGCTAGGATGCATAATGTACTTGTACTATATGATTGACCAATGTTGTGATACTATGAAGTTTGATCATTGGTGTATGGAAACACGCTTTTTGCATATTGCGTTTTACGCCCCTTGAGTTTATTTGGCAACATAACTAACCTTTGTGTTATATTCTTTTTCTTTTTCATTTGTTTTTACTATTTTATTAGTTTCCGTTTCATGATTTTTTTTGTTTCATTTGTTTCTACGTGAAATAACGTTATGATTTTGAAGGTTGATTTTACAAGTTCTATTAATTTTATGATAAATCTAAGAGTGGATTATATTTTTGGTCTACAAGTATAATTGATTTTTGCAATTATCTGGTTTTAGAAGTCTCTTTTGCAATTTAAATTTTTATTTGATGCTTTTGTAATGTTTTTTATCTCGGTTTCAAGTAAAATGATAAATGACTATTTCTTTTATCATAATATATTTGATTTGTGTAATTTTGATCGATAATTATTTGGAACACAAACCAAAAAGTTACAAAAATCTAAAATAAAAACAAGAATTGCAAAAGAAAAGTTTACTCTAACTTTAATTAAAAGAATTATTTATCCCAATTATGAATTATGTTTATAATTATGTTTATGTTGTTATACCACAAGATGCCAATACATATAATAAAGAGAAGGTGAAAGGACACTATGGTCATTGTACCTAGATAAGGAGGTTAAACGATGGGTTTATCAACCATAATCTTGGTTATAAATACGAAAGTTGGGGATATATAAATCACTTTATGCATTTCGACCAAGTCACACCAGAAAGACAATATTCACACACATACAAGTGAGAACTTCGTTTTTAATGAAACTGAACCAACTTTCATGATTATTGATCAACACATCGAGGATCGAGGACCAGAGCCGACTCTATCTTTTGCGACACTAAACAATGACTTAGGGTCTCCAAGGCCCCCAAATTTTAAAGCTTATTCACTAATTGTAGTCTAGAAAATTGAGAATCGATCATTTGATTGTTACGCATATCTAACTTGATGCCACAATAAACAATCAAAACGGCAATTCAATTTCCACAAAAACTCATCTATTCTAGTTCTTCCTCCTTCTCGTTGGCTTCTCTTCATGTCCTCCAATTTCTATTCTAGTCTGAAACGCGAAAACGCAACCAATGGTATTAGCCAATGATGATTTGATTCAGTGATTCTCGATCAGTCGATTTCAAATCAGGGGTGGCATTGCAAGACTTCAACCGACGAACTGAAAGTCTGAAACAATATGTGCTTCGAATTTCCATTATCTGATATTCTGATTATCTTCTAGTTCTAGTTTTGAGTTTTCGATGTTTTCCATTATCTATTTATCTCATCATCCGTGGTTGTGGATTTGTTGTAGATTAAGAATCTAATAAGTGTTATTGACTTATTTCTTGATCCTAATATTGAGTGATATCATTATCTATTTATTTCAAAGACTCAAGGTAGATTAACAATCTCAAAAGTTTTTATGATTTCCATTATCTTCTATTATCAAGCAACAAGTATTTCTAATCCATAATCCATTAATTTACTTCCAATTTGTTGTTTGTCCATTTGTAGTTGTCTTGGTGATTGTTATTATTTATCACATAACCAATAATCATGTTTAAAAGGAAAGGCCAAAGAGCCCTAACTTTTTGGTTCGCTTAGAGTTCTAGATTAAATTGTCCCTACCAAGACAATGATATACTATGATTTGAGATTCTGTGGATTTATGATTTGTTTGATACAGATAAATCTTTAGAAGTTTTTGTTTAAATTTGAGGTTCTATTGAATATATGGCTCTTTATAAATTAACGTAACTAAAAGTTTTATGACACACAAAAACAAAAACAAGAAAAATGAACAAAAGAAATTCAGTGATTTCATTTACGATTAAATTGTCAGTACAGTGGGTGTAATAATTTGGAACAGAATTATATGTATGATGATTAATACATTATTTATTCTATCCTAATTGTACATCATAACAAATAAAATAGCTAGTTAGTGTCAAAACAATGAGGAAAATAGTATATAGACGTTAAGGGTTGATATTGCAATCCATGTTAAGTTAGGGGGTTATTTATGAAGTTACTCAATATATCGTCAAGCGGGTCGTCTCTTTGTTCTTGCATAAGTAGCGATTTACATTAACGTTTTCACGAAAGGGTTTTCCAATTCCTAAATCCAAATTCTAGGGTTTCAATCCTACTCAAAAATCGAACTTACGATCGCAAGATAAACCCAAATTGACCCGTCGATTCGAACGAAACCATCGAAGAACCTCGGAGCAACAATTCAATTGCTGAAATCAGCAAGCGCGATTCAATTCAGGTCGATTCTCTCTCATCCGATTGCTATTTTTGTTGCTGAATTATTTAACTAAAGTGTCACACTAGATCGCAATCACTTCGATATTTCAACGACTTGTTCGCATTTAACAAATACTATCGAGTTCTTCTAAGTTCTGGTTTTCGTTATCGATCAATTTTTACACACATTGAGAATTTCATTATAGCATTGAAAAGCTTCGATTGTTACAAGTAGTTTCTTAATTTTATTTCCACAGTTGAAAGGATACTCGATATAGCTGGAATGCATTAGTTCAAATTCGTATCGAGATTTTCTAAGTGGCAAATTAACATTCTTTACCCTCATAAATCGTTAAATTAGGGATAGCAATCTGAAACTCTGTTATATGATTACATAAATATCTTGGTTATCAGCCTCTTTGTAGAGTTTACTTTCTTGAAATAATGAAACAAACATATGCCCCTTTTTGGATTGCGAAGCATTTCCTTTACTTTAAACCCAAAATTCATATGATCCTGCATTGATTTCCATTACAATAATAACAAGCAGCTTACATTGAGAATCAAAATTTTGTGGATTTTAGGTATTCAAGACTAAATGGGTGCGAATCAGTATACACGAATCGATACATTAGAGCTGAAAGCTCTTTTCCATAAAAAACTCGGACAACAAAGAGCCGATAAATACTTCATTCTACTCTACAAATACCTCAATTGCCAGCTTGCAAAGAACAACTTCCTCAAATTCTTGATCCTAACAATCGGTAGAGAAAATCTCCCTCTTCACAACCGATTAATCACTTCAATCGTAAAAAACGCCACTCTATCCAAAACCCCACCACCAACATTCAAAAAGTTCACAAAATCCCTAAATGTCAAGATTGCGAGGGGACAAAGGAACAGTCTGCAGTCATATGTTCCTTCGTCCCCTCGCAAGAGCCGGTCCCCACGGGACCGGAAGTTAAAAGACCGTTTTAGCCCTCTCGGGCCAAACGGTAAATCTGATTTCCACCAAAGTCCAACCGAACTTCATTCTCTCGGTAGCCGACCGCCAATTGAGGTTTTATCGGTTGAAGACGGCGAAGAGGTTGTTTCCGGAAGCCCAGGGATTCAGAGTAGAAGCCCAGTCACAGCTCCTCTGGGTATTTCATTAAGCAAAACCCGAAAGAGCTTGTACCGGGCTTCTGTCCATGGGCCTGCGAACGCTTCGCGGGCCCATATGTGTCAGAACAATTTTGAATTGCCCGATAGTCGATACTTGAGGGGGTGTTTGCGGCAAAAGTTGGAAGTTGAAGGGCTAAGTGTTTCCGAAGATTGTGCGAATTTGTTAAATGTTGGTTTGGATGCTTATTTGAAAAGATTGATCGAGCCTTGTATCAGTCAAGCCCGGTCAAGGCTCGGTCAATCTCAATCTCAAAGTCAAAGTCAAATTGCCCCTGTTTTAAATGGGCCGAGGGTAGTTTCGTCTGTTTTGGATCTTAGTGTTGCGATGGAGTGTGATCCACGTAGACTTGGAGTTGACTGGTCAACGCAAATGGAGAAATTACGGTTTAGTACTTTTGAAGAATAAAATTAGATTTTGTGATTCTTTGTGGTAGAATTTTGATTCTTGGAGGTGTATGCTTCTTGATAACTTGTCTCTGAATTGTTTATGGGGGCTTTCAAGTTTCAATGAGTTCACCAGCATCTTTATTAATTAGCTGTTTAGTGTTGTATAGCGTATGGGGATATACCTCCAAGTTTGCGTATATTCTCTCTAGTTCACTTCTAATGCTTTATCTTGAAAAAAAAAAAAAGAAGGGCATTTACGTCATTTCCCCACTATTGTTTACATGCCAAAACTAACCAATGTTTACATGTTTACTTACTACCAAGTGTTTCATTAGTGACTTAATTCGCAAATTAGTAAAAGCATTAAAGCAAGCTTTGTTTGTTCAAGGTGCATTTATCCCAAAACAGAAAATATAATTTTGTTTAAAAAAAACAAATAACTATACATTGAACAAATAAATAACTATGCATATTCATGTATCGTAAGTAATTAAAAAAATAAATAAATATATTTATGATACTAGGACTTTATAAATTTTGTTTTTATAAAACATATTGATGTCCATAAATAACAAAAATAACAATCGTTTTGGGTCATAACTTTTACAACTTAAACGAATCACAATTGGTGAACATCAAACACCAGTATCAAACGTGCATGTTTGTGTACATGACTTGCACTAATTAATTCTATAATTTTTTTTTTTTTTTTACATATGACCAACAATTAACACAATCTTAATGCAAACCTTACCATTGTATTTAAGCCAAAGTTTATGTGATTCTGAACATAAAATTATAGCAGATATTTTACATTGATAACCAAAATTTACTTTTACCCCTTTAAGTATATAACTATCTAATTCCTATCACTCTTTTACATGACTATACATATGGTATCGTACATGGTAAATATGAAAAAGAAAATGTGGAGATATCAATGATCAACAAAAATTACAACAAATCCATCTATATATATATGGGTGATACATAAGAGAACATATTGCAATATAATTCAGTCCCAATCCAAACTATATGTGTTTAAACTCAATGCAAGCCCTTTAAGTGACTCAAAATCGAAAATATTTAAATAAAGTTCTATCGAAATCCTTGGGGTGTTGGTTTTAAATTCATATACTTGTACCTTCATCCAACCATCATTCCTTTGCTGTGGAAGTCCTTTCTTTTGATAAAACTTTCCTATACTAACTAGGGATTCAGGACTAAGTAAATAGATAACAGGAGGCTCGAACCAAGAATGGTTTTCTTGTAATTTGTAAACAAGGTAAGTTGCATATGGTTTTCTTGTTGCTTGATGCAAACTCTCTTCTCCCCACAAGATTATTTGTTTATAATCACTTGGCAATTTTGGTTCCCATTATGTTTCCTCATTTTCATCCTCATCCTTATCCTCATCCTCTGATAATAATTCATCCTGCACAATTAAATTAAAACATATACGTTAGACTTAATTTTATCAACTTGAAGAAAACTCTTAAGATTTGTGGTATTTTTTTCCCAAAAAATGGTTTTTTTACCTTGAAATTTTGTTGCAATCGAATAATTTTCAAGAATATTTGAGACACTAAAGAAAACATAAACATAATGAAACCGGTATTTTTCAACTTACTTACTTAAGGGGCACAAACTCAGTGCCTTCTACTTCAATCCCATATGCGCAATCAAACTCAATTTTAAGGTCAATATTACTCGTGTTGTTGATAAACTAATACAATTCAGCCATCAACCATCCATCTTCTCTCTCATGAGATACAAACAAAATCCAATAGTTTGTCTCACTAGGGGACTTGTACTTGATGCCTAAATGGTCCAACCTTTTGCGTTTATCATTCATAAACACAAGGTTTACTTTGTATGTGATATTTGGTGACAAAAATTGTGTTATTGTATGCGCGTTGAATTTGACATATAAATCTCTCCAGTTGCACACTTCAAATCTGCATGAAAATGCGGTATTAATATAAATCATAGGTATTGTGAGAATGTAAAAACAATAACAAGGCGTTGGATGAAAAAATTCTTTCATTTGACGTTTCGGAATTCTTCGTATATTTCCATTACTAGTTGAGAGTCTCATATATTACATGAGTTTATTTAAGAAAAAATAAACAAACATAAAGATCTAACAATTTAGAAAATTTAAATTTATAGAAAAAAAAAGTAAATTATTAATTATAAAATTGAAGTGCTTATTTATGTTTTAAATTTAAACTAATAATTTAAATAAATAAATAACTAAAATAATTGGATTAAATTTAGAAATTATAAGGAAAATTGCATTAATAAATTGGATATATATTAATTATATTTAAATATTATATGAAATTTAATAAAATGAAAAAAAAAAAAAAAAAAAAAAAAAAAAAACCTACAAAATGATACATGAATATAATTTAATCTAAATTTAACACATAATGATATACGACATAATACATAAGAGAATGACAAGTAGCAAGATTATTTTTATTTATTAGAAATGATGATATTTGATATTCTTATATTATCCTATATATAATACTGATCATGATAGAGTTTAAAAAAATTTAGAAGCTAAATTAAAAGGAGGACAACTAACCTTGACTTAATTTCATCATCATATGCAACATAATCATGAGGTTGTTTAGTCGATGTAGGAATGAAACATTCTGCTAATATCATTTCACAATGTTCCTCTTTCTCATTTAAGGAGAACTACTGTCCATATAAAAAGGTCAAATCGTATGAGTAGAGATTTGGTGAACCATGATTTTCTTTGTTTTTTCACGTTAGATGATTGTGGTTATTTTATAAATAGAAATCTATGATAGCTTGTTGACTTTGATGTTTGCTATGGTTTCCCAATACGGTGTAGTAGAAATTTTTCAATGTATATATACTTAATAAGCTTTATTTTATTTTTTATCAAAAGAAATTCCTCTATTATACATTAATATTTTATGAATCTCACAATTTATTATTCATAAACGGAATATATACCAAATGGCTTCTAACCCAAGGTATCTGATATTGTCCTCCTCTTTGAAGTTGATGGTTCAAATATAGATAGAAATAAGGAGTAGTTTAAGAGTATGAGTAGGTTAAATTTGTCATTCAAAATAAATAAATAAATGAATAATATAAAAACAAGAGCTAATTACCGTGTTGCCATTTATATTCCTTTTCGTTGGCCATAGACGACTTAACAAGCTCCTTAAACTCCTCTGGATTAGAAATCCCCTGCTGAAACTGAAGCGCAAGCTCAAGTTTTTCCACCACCTGAGACATCTTTGACCTTTTTGAACAAGATCTAAGCAAACATTGATACATGATTTCTGAAAATATTTCCTGTGACCTCATATTCATATCTTGCTTCAGATGAGGAAATATAATGTCATCTAGTTTATTCTCTTTGTTGCTTTTTTTCCACCTTGGCACAAATACCTAACACTGCTCTTTTGTAATTTGTTTATAGCATACTGTCCCACACAACACTTCAAACAATACCACCTCAAAAGAGTACACATCCGACTCTTTTGTTAGGATGCCTGTCTCGACATACATCGGATCTACGTAAATAGGGGTACCAACTACATTGGTTGCAAGAAAGGATTGTGATTGATTGGCGGGACCTATTTTTGAGAGTCCCATATCTGAAACTTTAGTGTTCCAATTCCCATCTAATAGAATGTTGGCACTCTTGATATCCCTATGGATGACTCTTTGTTGTGTCCCATGAGGATCATGAAGGTGGGATAACCCCATTGCAGCGCCAAGACATATCTTGAGACGTTGCATCCACATGAGAGTCATGCTACTCAAATGGCAATCAAGGCGTCCATTACTGACATACTTGAATATAAGGATCTTTTCGTCATCCTCATCGCAAAATCCCAAAAGAGATATTATATTAGTATGTGTAGTGGTAAAGCATTAATATCTCTTTCAAGAACTCGAAGTTTCCCTGCTAGGAGCTTTTACTCCGACGCTTCAAAGCAACCGTGGTTTCCCCTTTAGAATCGGAGAGTACGCCTAAGTACACCTTCCCAAATGCACCTTCTCCAATAACTTTGTTGTCATCAAAGTTTCCCATGATTAACTTTATCCGTTTCAAGTTAAAGTGTTTAAGATGTTGAACCTGCCCCAAAAAGGCCTCATCCATGATTTGTGAAATCAAAGATATTGTAAGATGGTTGACTTTAAATTGTTGAAGCTAGATCTTTGAAAGGGGATGCTGTTAAATAACCTCAAAAGTAGAGTATATACAGGAGAGCCATAAGAGAATTTGGACATACCATATTCCTACCCACTCCTTTTACTTATCACTTTTATGCTCTTTTATTTTACTTATCATTCTTATTTTTATTTACTTATAATTTTTATGCTTTTTGAATTCCTTTCTTTATAAACAATTTATAATTTATAATTTACACCCTTTTTTAAAATTTACATAAAAGTTACTGGTTTCACCCGGCGTTCTTCTAATATATGTTTAAATATTTATCATGTCAATATATCAAGTTAATTATTAAAAGTACATAACAAAAAAAATATGTATTAATTTAAATAAAATTACATCATTAATAGATCATGTCAAATACATTTGAAATGATACCTATATTGGATATTATTGTTTTTTTAATTGATCTCTATCGTTATTACAAAATAATGTTCATTCCAACTTAAAAATTTTAAATATATCTTTTTAACATTCTTACTTATATAAAAATTTTAGTCGTAGAAATGAAACATGTACCAAAAAGGATAAGAGAGGATTCGTTTTACATATACATATATATTTGGAGGATATTTAATTTCTGATACATTTGCTTACATTTTTTTTTACTTCAAATACAAATTCTAAGTATATCTTGGTCAATGGATGTTGGACATTTCTTAAGATTAAATTTGATAATTAGAATAAAGTATTACCTCGTTGCTCTTATGACTTTATTTTTTGCTCAATTATTTGTTGGAAGATAGCAATATATAAAATATAAAATTTAATTTAAAAAAAAACTAGCTAGATTATTTATTTAGACTAAGTCAATTAACACCTCCTATTTCAGTTGTAGTTTCTTATTTCAATTTGGACTTTACTAATTACTACCCACCACCAACATCCGATGTAATGTTTCCTTATTACACTATATATATAATTAGAAAATTATGAAACTAAATGTCGTAATACACCCAAAAATATATCAGCATTTGTATAATATGGCAAAAGTTGAGACTTTTCATCATTCACTTTCAGATCATCAGAGAAGTAGTAGACGTCTTTTATTTATTTTTTTTTTTTTTTGTCTAGTCATCATCCAAATCATGACTCATTGACATAAGAAACTACCTTATAGATAAGTATTTTGAAAAAAAATAAAATAATGAACCATAGAATCATAGAAGAATCATAAAGGAATAAAGTATGTTGTCATTTCTTGCAATTTGACTAATGACTTTAGTTGTATATTGTGTATAACAGAGTTTTTAGATATGTATAAAAATGAAAATAGAATGCTATAAAAATAAATAAATGTAAATACGTTGCTATTTGGTTATAGCATTATGGTTACAGACCTGATGTCAAAGTCCACTTGTGTTTAGAGGCTTGTGCGGCATTAAGAAGTATTTAGAGGCCACCTGTGTTATCCACTCCCTGGCGTTAGTAATATTAGTAATTGCAAGTTTTTTTAGCTTTAAAAAAAAAAAAAAAAGAATCATGACTTAATTGTAAATTAAGTTAGAATAGGGATGTAAACCGGTCCGGAACTAAAATTCTACTTGGGAAATTATATAAATCGAGAATCAGACCGAATACTACTAAACACTTCCGGTTTGGTTCGGTTCTATTATCGGCTCTTCTCTTCGGCCGATAAATTAAAAAAACAAAATAAAATAACTATTGCTTTCGATCAAAATGTTCACAACTTAGATAATGGAAAGTCACCAAAAGCCATATCTATATATATATATATATATACAAATTTGTTATGTTCTTGACAAAACAGGGCTTGAAGACACTTGTCCCTGTTTGTAAGATGTTAAAATGACCAAATTGGGAATGAGATCATTAATGCTATATACTAAATTGTAAACAATTTGTATAAATCTGACTTGTAACTTGACTGAATACATGTCTTTATCAGTTGGCGCCCGCTTTTGCTAAGCTGGCCATATATGTGATGTAAATCGTCCATACATATGCAAACGAGTTGCTCACCAGTGGCTGCATTGTTAAAACCAATATGGAAATTTAAAACAAATAAATACCTATATAATTTTTTTTTTTTTTTAAATGTGATAATAGTATTATGATATGATTTTTACCTGCAAATGAACGGGGGCAAATCTGAAGGTGATAAAATCACAAACCGGCCAATATAACACATTATTGATCATTGTTGGCAACATGTCTCGTTTCAATCGCGCCACAATTTCTTTGCCTTTTTCACCTGAGAGATGTGATATGTTGTAGTCTACCCTTTCTCTTTTTGGAAAATAAATTTGAAGGTGTTATTGAAAAACAAGATAAAGGGTGATTAAAAAAAGTACCTTGCAGAGCTGCATTGACAGAGAAGAAAGTGGCAGTCATTATAGGTCCATAGATCGCTTGTCCCATGAAAATCTTTTTAAACGTTGTGAAAAGGTCTTGTTTTGGTAGAACTTTTGAAACAAAGTTGAACCAGAAATGTAGTGATGGACCTAATATCATCATACCATATCCAGCCATACGAAAAGTCCTTATCACATCATAAGCCTCTGAAGAAGACCTTGTCATTGTCTGAAAATTAATATTATACCAGAGATGAGAAACTACAAACAAATATGAAATACCCCTCTAATTCGGCTTGGAATGTTGCAATTAACATCGGACATCTTTAATTTAAGTTGCAGAATTCATGTGATACCCAAAAGCTCAATCTAGAACTATTTCTTGATTTTTCTGGACCTTGAATTCTAAATATATATGACTCTAACAATCTATACATGTATCTTTGATTCCTTTCAGGAATAAGTCATATTAATCAGTGAAGAGAGAATGAACTTTTTGGACACAACCAAATGAGAAAATATCATCAAATGCAATTGGAAAATCAAATCATTATCAAATTCAATAAGTCACACATTAAATTAAAGTGAAGTACCTGAGATGTAAAATCGGCAGCAGTGTAAATGAGGGCAGATGTGATGCTTTTAGTAAGTATAGGTCGTGTTTTAATCATGCCCAAATACCATCCGATTGCTGCACTATTCGTAATAGAACCCAATAGCGTTCTACCATTGGTCTTATTACTGATACTACGAACCGGAACAGAAAATTCCAAATCTTTGGTTTTCCGACCAGGAAATCGGGAATAAAAAGCTTTGGAAAGTTGGGGTTCTCGTCGGACATGGCTTCTGTGAATCGGAACACCGATTGAATCGGAAACATAGTGGCTTCTCCATATGGTTTGAACCTTGTTGCCATTTCTTAGGACGCTGGTGTTCATTTTGTGAGGGAAATGAGGCTATGTGAAATAGGGTTTGATTTTCAGGGGAAGGGAAGGGAAGAGAAGAAACGGCCTTTTATGGCTTCCGGGAGAAAGGGGAAGGAGACATGTGTTTCGCTGGCGTCTGCAAATTGTGTCTTACTCGCGCCGTCGCGTGTACAATTGATTATGATTTTTGTTAATGGTCCTTCTTCTCGTGGGGTAGTTTGTAATTGGTTCGTACTTATAATTTCTATTTTTAGGTTTTGTTTCGGTTTAAAAATAGCTATAATAACCTACTATTTTATTTTTTAGTTGCTTATTTCTTTTATTTTTATAAAAAGGAACAGGACATTTTATATTGTCATCAAAACCTAAATAGAAGAGGACGCATATGTCTCAACGATCTATCATGCCTCTCTCCACTATGTCTCTCTCTCTAACTAACTTGAAAGCATACGAAACCGGTAAGACTATGAGTCGATCTCCTCCGCCACCACCAATACGCACCCTTAAGGCACACTTGCTATCCCTATCGTTGGTATCCTCTGGTCTCCATCTAGTTCCAATCAGTACACTGTTGGAACCTAAAAGTGAACCTTAGCAATCCTAAGTCCAAATTCCAAAGTACTTGCATTCAGGGGTAAACAATGGAGAAGTGGTCCGGAATCTGTCCGGACCAAGGAAGAAGCCGAAGTGAAGACGAAGCCATTCTGGAATGGATGCTGATCCGGAACAACTTAATTTTGTCTTATTGTATTTATTATATTTGTCTTTGTATTGATGTAACGTTTCATAGGATTTAGTCTTTTGTTGTATTTGGACAATCAGAATGTCAGGATTATCTCTATTGTCCCAGTCCTATGTAAACACTCCGGTTAATTCACTGTAACATTCTCTCCTATTTATAGGAGCTTTTCAATGCAAAGTAAACGACAGATTATTCACTCAACTTTTGGTTTTTACTTAGTTATTTCAAACATCTTTCAAAACCTTCTTCTTGTTTATCATTTATTAGCTTTATTTTGATCATTTATTTTCATTCTTCATTTAATGGTTTGATTATTTGTTAAACATATTATCTAAGACTTGACTGGTCTTTCCAGACTTGACTTGAACATTTATTAGCAAGCAAACATTGATCTTAAGAATTCACTATAGGTTTGAGTTCTCAAACCTTGTCCCTGCGCAATAGATCTTTCTTGCTCTCTCATACACCTACCACCCTAACTTCTTGGTGAATTACAATGCATTCAACCCTTTCAGGGGTGGATACAAGAATTAATAGTAGGTGTTGCCGGATTTTTTTTTCCGTTCAAATATAATATAAAACCGAAAAATCATCCTTTACATCTACTAAAAAAAACGATCGATTACATAAAAAGTTAACAACATAACAACTATTTATTACAATTTGAATTTGCCATCTTCGTGCAGACATCTTTTGAAAGCGCTCAACTTTCGCAAGTGTTTTGGTCTCAACATTGCAAAGCAATGCGTCGTGCAAAAAGTCATCGCCAATTTTGTTGCGCAAGTCGGTCTTCAAGAGTTTCATCTTCGAAAAATATATTTTTACACTTGCGGTCGCTACAGGTAATATCAAAACCAACTTTAGAAGCTTATAAATCAAAGGATAAGACCGATGTTTCCCTATAATAACCATCAAACAATAAAGGTCTGTAATTCCTTTCAAGCTAGTGAAGCGCTCATCTTTGATGCAAGAGTGATAAAATATCTCAAGTTGTCCTTCAAGGTCTATCATATCTGAATCATCAAATTCATACTTGTATAACTTAGCCAACTTTAACAACTTTGATTTGTCAAATTATGCAAATGAATCACAAGAGCCCAAAGCATCATGTAAGTTGCATATCCACCACCGCGTTGAAGATGTTAACCTTAAAATGAAATCTATTAGTCTTTGTAGTCTTACGTTTTCTCGCACTAACATACAACTCTTCCATATCCAAAGTATCAGTATTGTGTGTTTGACACAAAGAGGATACCTTTGGCAAAATGTTAGCAAACCCCGTGTTTCTAGAAGATTGCAATACCTCCATTATCTCTCTAACCATCGAATTCGAAGCCACTTCTAACCATCGAATTCGAAGCCACTCCGCAAACAAGTGTTGAAATGTAAACCCCATCATGTATCTCTCACTCGAACAAGTGTAGTCTCTTGATTTAACCCTCATCTGGTTTCAAGTTCACCACTACACAAGCTTTTTTGCACCCTTTGTCTTGCTTGTTCCCATAGTAAGTCTTTTCTTTTACACGAGGCACAAACAAATTAACCACCACTGAAATTTGCTCCAAAAAAAATACTAAAACCAGCATGTTTCTTTGCTACTGCCACAACTAATCGAAGTTAGTATGCAAAACAATGTACATAAAAACATGTGTCATCCTCTTGTATATATATAACAAATTAAATCAAACTAAAATAACAAAAAGGTAAAGAACAAATTATTTGACTAAAACTTAATGTAACGACCCAATTTTCAAGGCCAAAAATTTCATTTTTGAATTAACGCATTTAATAAACATTTTACCAAAACATTGTCAGTAAAACATCCATTACAAAATCATAATGTTGTATTTCACACCATAACATCATAAGTATGGAAAATCAGAGTACAGTCCCAAAAACTTCTTGCGAAAACATATGTGTGTGTGATGCGCTGCTACACTGCTGACTCTTTCCCCTTCGACGAAGAGGTACCTGAAACCAAAACCAAAACTGTAAGCACAAAGCTTAGTGAGTTCCCCCATCATACCACATACCATACAATATTGTCGGTATCTTTCAACCGGTAACCTTCATCGATATCTTTAAACCGGTGACCATCATCGATAGCTTTCAACCGGTAATCAACATCGGTATTTTTCAACCGGTAACTGGGGACTATTTCACCCTCTACTACTAGCATACAATCAACATATATAAGCATACAGTCAGGCATATCCGGGTACTGACCTACCCTTGGGTCTTAAGGACCAATGTCAGGGAAACTAATCCCTACCATACACATAACATACCATCTAGGTAAACCTCATAACCATCACATAACTAGACCAAGATAATTATCACAAAGACCATTATCTTCTAAATACCCATTATTGGTGGGCCGGCATTATGGCCTTAGACCCACCCCTACTGGAAGGTAACTCACCTCGATGTCATGCAGTGTATAAACTATCCTCGACGCACAAGTCGACTCCCTACGACTCCTCGATCCCTACAAGAGAACCTTCAAGTCAACACATATCACATACAACCCTAAATAGGGTTAGTCCAAGTTCAGTCAAAGTCAACATTCAGTTGACCTGACTCGCCGAGTTGGCCTCGTCGAGTCTAGCAAAAACTCGACGGGTTCTCCTTCAATCATAACATCAGGACCATCTTCATCCGACTCGCCGAGTTCCTTCTTGAACTCATCGAGTTCATCTCCAACTTAAGAACTTGTCCAGTCTATGACTCGCCGAGTTATATGAACAACTCGTCGAGTCCATCTTCAAAGATTGGGAGATTGCTATGGACTCGCTGAGTTTGCTCATACCACTTGTCGAGTCCCATGGCTTCCAGGTCCCTTTTCGCGTCTAAACCTATAAAGGACTTCCTTCCTAACACTTACCCATTCACAGAACGAGTTTGGTGCACAATGGTCACCGACTCGTCGAGTGCCAAGAACAACTCGCCGAGTCCAACCTTGACCAATTCCATATAGTTGATTTAAATAAGGTCTAACACACCAAAACCATAGATTTGGCCTCCTAATGTCCATTTTATACGTAAAGTTCCAAACTTGATGCACATGCATGGGGTTTTTAGCTTAAAAATCCATATAAAGTGTCCTACAATGTGCATGGGGTTCTCATGGCCCTAAATTTGGCACCTTTATGCCATGAGACCCCTCTTAAGGCCCAAATCTAAAGTCAAAACTCACTCAACACTTCCAAATCCGAAAAATGACTTAGAAATCCATAGAGATCCCTAGTTAAAGATGAATAAACACGTAGATGAGTCAAGACAGGGGCATTATACCTTGAAACTGTTGAAAATGAAGTAAGAACTCTGGATCTACAAGCCCCAACTTGATTTCCAAGCTCCTTTCTTCCTTCCAAGCTTTACAATCCACACAAGAACACCAAAATGACCTTAACTCACACACAAACAACTAGGGTACGGTATGAAGCTTTCAAGAGAATGTTAGGGACAAAGGAGGCTGAGTTAAGTTGTTTATATAGGGTGCAAACCCTTAGATTTATGGTTTCACTTATCCAACACCTACTCGCCGAGTCAGTCTCCCGACTCGTCGAGTCGGTCACTTAAAATGTCCGCAGTCACGTCCCTACTCGACGAGTTTATCCTCCAACTCATCGAGTCCTAGAGAAAAACATATCAGGTGTTACACTCAACTTATTACTTGTAAATACTTCAATTATAGCATTTTTGAGTGTCAAAGATGATGTATCATTCACATGCACAACGCCAATGAATCCTTCCTTCACAAAGCCAAGACTATCGACATATAGCAAAACAATAGTTATTTGTTCATTTTTTTTCAAAACATCGCTAGATTCATCAACCAATAAAGCAAATACATCTTGATCAATCTAGTGGCAAATACTCCAAAGTACTTCTTATGTAAAACATTGCACAAGTTTTTTTTTTTTTTTTTTTTTTTTTTTTTTTTTTTTTGAATTTTACGGAAAATCAGTTGACTATTTTTAAGAGTATTTTCTGATTAGTATGCCGACCACCCTTACTTCTCGGCGAATTACAACACATTCAACCCCTTAACCCTTCCATGATGAAAAAATATCTTGATCATTTATTTTTCTTAAATACTTACCCGATGCTTCCGCTACGGTTCTTCCTAGACAATTTTCAGATCATAGCCCAATCATTCTTACCACCAAGCAGGTGGACTTTGGGCCAAAACCATTCAACTTATTTAATTTGTGGTTGGCAAAGGAAGGTTTTGAAGGGGTAGTCAAGAAGGCATGGTCTGGATTTCGTGGGTATGGAGGGGCTGATGCTTTCTTAGCAGCTAAGCTAAGATATCTTAAAAAGAATATAAAGAAATGGAGAGAGGCTAAATATACAAGAGAATATGGTGAGATACAAGAAACAAAGAAGAAAATGGATGAAATATATGCCTTGGCGGAAACAAGAGACCTGATGCCTCATGAATTAGGAAT